CCTTGATCATGCCTGACGCTATATTCAGGAATGCAGGTCTGTGTACAGTATTTCTTCCAGAAAAAAAGGCATTCAAGGGCACGCTGGTTATGAGTCTTGTAACATTAACCTGCTGGGACCAATTCTCAAGAACCTTGCATATGTAGGAAATTAAAGGTACAGTATTAGCCTATAATTGTGAGAGTTTGGCTTAGGTATAAGGATTATGAGGCTTGTTACATGAATGTGCAGATAATTAGGGATGTTACTTATTTTCCTATCATAGTGTTGTAATTTGACATGACAGGACTGATTTTGAGACCTTTAAATATCAAAGCAATTGGAAGATATTAATCAAGACTATTTTTCCAAAGTCCAATGTAACTCTCACATTAGGACAATAGCCAAGTTCAACAAGCCAAAATTAGGACAGAAAACAGATGTTTTTCACTCGGTGAAATAAACCCATGGAATCTGGTACATGCCAAAGCAGTAAATGCAAAGACATTACCTCAGTTTAAAATTCAACTGGAGAAAATCTTCAGGAACAATGGGGGAATACTTTGAGACACACACACACACACACACACACACACACACACACACACACACCTATACTGTTTCTGGTATATGTAAATGATCTCCCAGAGGGTATAGATTCGTTCCTCTCAATGTTTGCCGACGATGCAAAAATTATGAGGAGGATTGAAACAGAGGATGATAGTAGGAGGCTACAAGATGACCTGGATAGACTGAGTGAATGGTCCAACAAATGGCTGTTGAAGTTCAACCCGAGTAAATGCAAAGTAATGAAACTAGGCAGTGGAAACAGGAGGCCAGGCACAGGATACAGAATAGGAGATGAAGTACTTAATGAAACAGACAGAGAGAAAGATCTAGGAGTTGATATCACACCAAACCTGTCTCCTGAAGCCCACATAAAGAGAATAACGTCTGCGGCATATGCGAGGCTGGCTAACATCAGAACGGCGTTCAGGAACCTGTGTAAGGAATCATTCAGAATCTTGTACACCACATATGTAAGACCAATCCTGGAGTATGCGGCCCCGGCATGGAGCCCGTACCTTGTCAAGCACAAGACGAAGCTGGAAAAAGTCCAAAGGTATGCTACTAGACTAGTCCCAGAACTAAGAGGCATGAGTTATGAGGAAAGGCTGCGGGAAATGCACCTCACGACACTGGAAGACAGAAGAGTAAGGGGGGACATGATCACAACCTACAAAATCCTCAGGGGAATCGACCGGGTAAACAAGGATGAACTTTTCAACACTGGTGGGACGCGAACAAGGGGACACAGGTGGAAGCTGAGTACCCAAATGAGCCACAGAGACGTTAGAAAGAACTTTTTCAGTGTCAGAGTAGTTAGCAAATGGAATGCATTAGGAAGTGATGTGGTGGAGGCTGACTCCATTCACAGTTTCAAATGTAGATATGATAGAGCCCAATAGGCTCAGGAATCTGTACACCAGTTGATTGACGGTTGAGAGGCGGGACCAAAGAGCCAGAGCTCAACCCCCGCAAGCACAATTAGGTGAGTACACACACACACACACACACACACACACACACACACACACACACACACACACACACACACACACACACACACACACACACACACACACACACGGACATTGCGGACAAATGTAAAACAGAACCAGGTCTATTCTATAAATTCATAAACAAATTGCAGGTAAAGGATAATATTCAGAGGTTGAAAATGGGAAATAGATTCACGGAAGATGAAAAGGAAATGTGTGAAACACTAAACGAAAAGTTCCAAAGTGTGTTTGTACAAAATGAAATCTTTAGGGAACCAGATACAATAAGAATTCCAGAGAACAACATAGAACACATAGAGGTGTCTAGAGACGAAGTGGAAAAAATGCTCAAGGAGCTCGGTAAGAACAAAGCAGCTGGCCCAGATGGCGTTTCACCATGGGTTCTGAGAGAATGTGCATCTGAGTTCAGCATTCCACTTCACCTGATCTTTCAGGCATCCCTGTGTACAGGAATCGTAGCAGACGGGTGGAAACAGGCTAACATAGTTCCAATCTACAAAAGTGGCAGCAGGGAAGACCCCCTCAATTATAGACCTGTATCATTGACAAGTGTAATAGTGAAAGTATTGGAAAAACTAATCAAAACTAAATGGGTAGAACACCTAGAGAGAAATGATATAATATCAGACAGACAGTATGGTTTTCGATCTGGAAGATCCTGTGTATCGAATTTACTCAGTTTCTATGATCGAGCCACAGAGATATTACAGGAAAGAGATGGTTGGGTTGACTGCATCTATCTGGACCTAAAAAAGGCTTTCGACAGAGTTCCACATAAGAGGTTGTTCTGGAAACTGGAAAATATTGGAGGGGTGACAGGTAAGCTTCTATCATGGATGAAAAATTTTCTGACTGATAGAAAAATGAGGGCAGTAATCAGAGGCAATGTATCAGAATGGAGAAATGTCACAAGTGGAGTACCACAGGGCTCAGTTCTTGCACCAGTGATGTTTATTGTGTACATAAATGATCTACCAGTTGGTATACAGAATTATATGAACATGTTTGCTGATGATGCTAAGATAATAGGAAGGATAAGAAATTTAGATGACTGTCATGCCCTTCAAGAAGACCTGGACAAAATAAGTATATGGAGCACCACTTGGCAAATGGAATTTAATGTTAATAAATGTCATGTTATGGAATGTGGAATAGGAGAACATAGACCCCACACAACCTATATATTATGTGAGAAATCTTTAAAGAATTCTGATAAAGAAAGAGATCTAGGAGTGGTTCTAGATAGAAAACTATCACCTGAGGACCACATAAAGAATATTGTGCAAGGAGCCTATGCTATGCTTTCTAACTTCAGAATTGCATTTAAATACATGGATGGCGATATACTAAAGAAATTGTTCATGACTTTTGTTAGGCCAAAGCTAGAATATGCAGCTGTTGTGTGGTGCCCATATCTTAAGAAGCACATCAACAAACTGGAAAAGGTGCAAAGACATGCTACTAAGTGGCTCCCAGAACTGAAGGGCAAGAGCTACGAGGAGAGGTTAGAAGCATTAAATATGCCAAAACTAGAAGACAGAAGAAAAAGAGGTGATATGATCACTACATACAAAATAGTTACAGGAATTGATAAAATCGACAGGGAAGACTTCCTGAGACCTGGAATTTCAAGAACAAGAGGTCATAGATTTAAACTAGCTAAACACAGATGCCGAAGAAATATAAGAAAATTCACCTTCGCAAATAGAGTGGTAGACGGTTGGAACAAGTTAAGTGAGAAGGTGGTGGAGGCCAAGACCGTCAGTAGTTTCAAAGCGTTATATGACAAAGAGTGCTGGGAAGACGGGACACCACGAGCGTAGCTCTCATCCTGTAACTACACTTAGGTAATTACACTTAGGTAATTACACACACACACAGGCCAGCATCCTTTACTGCTAGAATCCACTCGGTAAAACATCTAAACTATTGAAACTGACTAAAATGCCTAAATCTGTATTCTCTTGAGTGCAGGCAGGAGAGAAACATAATAATTTACACATGGAAAATAAGAGAGGGGCTGGTCCCAAACCTGCACACAGAAATAACACCACACGAGACCAGGAGGCATGGCAGGATGTGCAGAATACCCCCTGTTGAAAAGCAGAGGTGCAATAGGTACCGAGAGAACTATCAACATCAGAGGCTCAAGACTGCTCAACACACTTCCATTACACATAAGGGGTATAACTGGCTGACCCATCGCAGTGTTCAATAGAGAACTCGATAAACACTTCCAAATGATACCTGATCAACCAGGCTGTGACTTGTACATCAGGCTATGGGCAACCGCGTCCAACAGCCTGGTTGACTAGTCCAGTAACGAGGAGGCCTGGGCAATGACCGGACCGTAAGGACTCTAAGCCCCGAAACCAACTCTAGGTATACTCTTACCTTGAGCAATGAGGAGACAAAAATTTAGAATGGAATAGCTGATAAATGTAAACCAGAACCAGGCTTATTCTTTAAATTCATTAACTTTAAGTTGCAGGTAAAGGAGAAAGTCCAGAAATTGAAATAGGCAAACAGATTCAGAGAATGAAAAGGAAATGTGTGACACACTAAATGAACAGTTTCAAAGTATGTTTGTGCAAAAAGTTTGTGCTATGAGGTTTACAGAGAACCAGACAAAAATAAGATTTTCAAAAAAGAACAGAGTACAGGTACATAGAAGTGTCCAGAGTTAAAACTGAAAAATTGCTCGAGGAACTAGGAAGAAATAAAGCAGTTGGCCCAGATGGAGTCTCACTCTGGGTTTGATTTTTCAGGTATCTCTATGTACTGGAATTTTAGATATTGTATGTGAAAAAAAGCACACAGTTCCAGTTTACAAAAATGGCAACATAGAAGGCCCTCTGGTGTGCAGGCAGGCACAGGGAGTACAAGGGAAGTGAGGCCAAGCCAGAAAAGAAGGAGCAGCAGGCTCTTGTGGCTAAACAGAAAAGGCTTGCTTTCTGTGTCTCCTAAGGGCTGCATCTTTTTGACATGCATTATACATGACTGGAGGTGTTCAGAAGACTCACTATAGTACCAAATGATGTAAGCCAAACCCATACTCAACTTATTGCCTTATGCCCTCTTTCTTTGTCTGTGGTTGATAGTTGATACCAAATGGCTCCTTCACTGTTGGACTAATACCAGGCAGGTTGTTGGTTAGCGAGACATTTATTTACTGAAGTTTAATGACAGGTGTAGGAGTGTAGTGAAGACCTTGAGAAAGGTGACAGATGTACATTGCCATAATGAGAGTGAAATTCTGGGATGAATTATAAAATCTGAAATTTGAAACCAATTAGGACGGCAATGAGGCAGACGTGGGCTCGAGCAGAGGCAGGGTTTGGAAGAGGAAGGGAGATCGGAAATTTGGATGTTATTCATTAATGATAAGCTTCCAATTTTTCTATTAGTTATGTTTCATTAGATAATTTACATCCTCAGACCCCAGAAGAGTGGGTCACAAGCTGTTACAGCGGACTGAACTTCGGATGGTCCGTGTGTGAAGAATCCAATAACAGTGGCAGCAACTCTAGTAGTAGCAGCAATAGCAACAGCAGCAGCAGACGCCAGTCAGTGTCTGTAGCGTCGTCTCCATGGCTGACTAGTGGGAGCCAGGCTCCTCCAGCATCAGGAGAACAAATAGACAAATTTATTCGACATCGGTAAGTACAGTACTGCACCCTCTGCTGTCGTGTAATCCATCCTCGTGCTGAGGTAACATTTATGAATTCTTTCCTGGCCTAGTTCGGGTATATAATGCTTTATGTACAGAGAAACAAATATTCTGTAATAGGAAAGCAGATTTTCTAAACACGGCATGAAATTACTGTAGTTTAAAATAAATTCTAATTCATGTAGTTTCAAAGAAATTAAAAAATACAAAATATAGTTACTGTATACAATGCTTTACCTTGTTTTATCATTATACAAGTACAGTAATGGTACTTATAATATCTATTTCATGTAATAAAAGTACATTTAGACTGGATGACTTACTTTTTACATTTCAAAACTATTATTTGTCAACTGTAAAGAAGGTAAGTTATGTATCCTGACCATGATCTAATTAGCTAGACCTGCTCCAAATGTGAAAATATTCATTTTGGAAATTGAATAGGCTTTCCTTCAGTCAGTGATTTGCATGACTAGTGTTGAAATGCACTACTCTGTTTAGTTTTAGTTTTATGCTTGCAGTGTGCCTGATGGTATACAATTTTCACACACAGGCCTACAGTTATATTTGGTTATCAAATTTGGCTGTATAAGCTAGATAAATTTTTCTGGTGCTCTAGGTGCCTTTTATTTTACCATTGCATAACAGTTAAAGAGAATTAAGTGATTCAAAATTTTAGTGCATTTTTTTTTTTAATGTAGAAAGTTGTGGTGGTTGGTGTAACGAGTGGCTTGTGTTATATTAATGTAGTTGTCCTTTTAGGGTTATGTCACTCTGGTTATTCAATATACAGTAATGTACATGAATAGGGGTCATAAGGGATACAGTACCTATAAAATAAGGATATTAAAGAAGAGTGTAAATGTAGTGCATGGGCCTAATGTAATTCATATAGGCTTTATTATATTTTATATATGCAGATGATTCAGCTTGTTAAAAAAAAAAAATCCTTTGAAGGTGCTTGTCGAGTTCTCTTTTGAACATTGAGAGTTTGGCTAGCTATGTCCTGTATGTGTAGGAAAAAAGTGTTGAAATTTTTTGGAGCTTTGATGTTGATAGAGTTGTCTCTCAATGTGCCTATTGCATTTCTGCTCTTCACTGTGGCTATTTTGCACATCTTGCCATGCTTTCTGGTCTCATGTGGTCTTATTTCTGTGGGTGGATTTGGAACCAGTCCTTTATTATTTTCCAAGTGTAGATTATTATGCACATCACCTGTCTGCATTGCCCATGAAGAGAAATTCTGTACAAGGTCAATCAGTTTAAGTACCTGGAATGTGCAATTGAAGATGAGAACAGTCACTGAAGAAAAATGGCTGTTGCAATTAAAACTCTGGTTAGTAAAAACATGAAATAGTATGGTGTAAATAGCTGCAGCCAAGATCCTGCATGAAGGAGTGGTAGTGCAAGCTCTGCATAAGAGTTGTGAGACCATGTTATGGTATAAACATGAAAAATCAAGAGTTAGATCAACACAAATTATTGATCTGGGAAGTGTGTGTGATATGAAAATAGATGAAATAGAGGGAATACAGAAGACATGTACGGTACGCATAGACATGATAAACCCCTCAACTATTGAGCTTTTCAAAGCTCAAGAAACTCACTCTCTAGTAAGGAGACGAGACAGAACATACTGGAGGGCCAGGTGCCAAATTTGCACAGTAAAATAATATACCTGAGTGAATGACATGGAAGGAAATGCAGAATAGAGCCAATGAAGAGTAGCTGTGCCCTAGGCATAATCAGAGAAGTGTTAGACCAACTGCGCTGTAGTGTATTTGTGGACCTGTGGAACGCTCCATGCAACATCTTGTTGGACCAAGAACCTGACCTCAGGCTGGGATTGGAAAGTAGTAGAACTCTCATAACTTCATCCAGGTACAATTCGGGTAAGGAGTGAAATGATCAGAATGAGAAATAGAATGCAAAATTCAATAAATTGTATCATTGAAGGGAGCATATCTAGATGGTTTAGAAGGAGAAGAATGGATATGGTGAGTTTGTCTGAGGAAGAAGAGTGAGTGTGGACAATACACATGAAATAGTGAGCAATAAGACCGAGTGGAAGCAATTTACAAGGTAGCATGTATATGCCTGTACTGTACTGTATGCAATATTTTATGAGGGAACACTATACACCAGGTGTTATGAAGTAGTGAGGAGCTGCTGTGAATGACTTTTAGAATGTCAACATGTTTGCTTATTTGTGATTCTATATATTGTGCATGATATGATGAATTGTATAGTAATATTTATATTAATATCTGTTACTTTCTTTTACTATATTATTCACCTTGTTTTCTCCAGGCTAGTGCCTCCCTGCTCCATTAAAGTGAAAAATCGGGTAATGTTGGTGTTTGTATGTATGAATGTGTATCTGTGAGAGTATGGAAGTTCACATGGCTTAAAGTGCAAGGGTTGTACACAACGGGAGCACAACCCTTGCACTTGATCCTTGCTGTGAGTGTGGCAGGCCCTGGAGAGGATTGTTTCTTCAGAGCTCTGCTTTCCGGCTCCATTTCGACTCTTCCTAGTGGTTCATTTCCTGAACTGCAGAGGTTCGCCTACTGGTCCTACCCACTTTGGGCTGGATTCTGTGTTGTTCTGCTTCCAGATTCTCAGGGTTTAGTTCCCTACTCAATTCATATGTAGGGCATGTTATCATGGATGGGTTATCTCATTTCCATCCTATTTTCGTGAAGTGGATAACTGCCGATGCATCCTTCTGTTGCGAAACGTTTAGTCATATCGCTGTGGACTGCTTCGCATCCACTTGGAACTGCCATCTCCCCCTACTATGTGGCTCCATTTTTTGATTGCGAGAAACAAAAGATGGCTGCCTTTCATATAGATTGGTCATGGTTGGAGTTCATATACTGTACCTCTTTTTCCCAATTCAGTTGTTCCTCATGGTGTTGCCCCAGACAGTAGTCATACTCAGGGAGTGTGATTCTTCCATGGTGGCAGGCTCAGCCATGGTTTCCCCATTTTTTTTGGGGCCTGGTATCAAAACCAATTTTTTCTGCAGCTCCACATCATCATCAGATCAACCTAGCACTGTACCTCACTGGTTTGGCCTTCTAGTCTGCTCTACACCCCTGGAATTTCTGATGTGGGGTCTATTGCCATTTGTATGGTGAATGAGTTATCTTGAGGTTATCTTGAGATGACTTCGGGGCTTTAGTGTCCCCGCGGCCCGGTCCTCGACCAGGAAGCAGCCCGTGACAGCTGACTTAACACCCAGGTACCTATTTTACTGCTAGGTAACAGGGGCATAGGGTGAAAGAAACTCTGCCCATTGTTTCTCGCCGGCGCCCAGGATCGAACCCGGGACCACAGGATCACAAGTCCAGCGTGCTGTCCGCTCGGCCGACCAGCTCCCTCAGTAGCTGAGGGAGCTAGTTTATTGGTGTCTCACCTGTATCTCTCTTCATGGTAGCAATATGAAGTTGCCTGGCATTCGTTATGCCTGTGTCTCATCTTTCCTTGGTGTCAGTCCAGGTCTCTTAGGTCTGTGGTCTCTTCATCTTAGTAGCTTTTGTCTCTCCTCCTCTCTGCTAAGTTCCCTGTTCTGTTTCTCTGTAGTTAAAACTTCAGAAAGCCACCAAGGGGAATCCTTCCAGAAAACTAGCATTGAACGTAGTGATCCACCTATTTCTGGTAGAACCCCGGTCGCTTCCCGACTCACTCACTCTCTACCAGGTTCGTCGATTCGTTGTCCTTCAGCTTCAGGCTGACCACTGGAGCCAGCTGTGGGCCAAGGGCTCTGGGTTGACTGTGTGACTATCAATACTAATGGGTTCGAGCTAGTTTTGAGTAAAACAACTGGTTTAAACTGAATCATTTGCAGAGTTGATTGGCCATTTTGATAAAATTTTCAGTGAGCCTTACAGTTGTCTGTAAAGCTTTGCTAACTTTTTGGATGCTTTCCAGTGAGGGTGATTATAGCCACCTGCTCTTTGTGCCTCTTAAGATTGGCCAGGTTCAGACTGGCAGGCCAAGCAGAACTTTTGCTACTGATTGGACCCAGTAGGGGAAGCCATCTCAGTGAGATAGAGCCCCAGTGGCTTCCTGAAACTACCAGAAAGAGGCATTTCATTACATTCATGCTGATTTTGTCCTAGAGGCATGTGATGTTAGCACATTTCTTGTTATAATTAAAGCATTAAAATTTTGATGACATTTTCCTAAACCTGCAACTGTTATGCAGTATTTCACTTTTGAGACATCTGTAGCTTTTTCATCATTTTCTGTAGAGAGCCTTTCCTGCTTCCCGGAGCTATACCAGGCCGATATGTATATATTAGACCATGGCATCAGTCAATTCGATTAGAGTTCTAGCCTACCAAGAACCACGAGCCAGAATCTGGCCCCCCTCAGAGAGGCATGAGGAGCAATGGCCTATAGAAACCCCCCATGTGGTTGGAAGCATTCTATGTTTGCCATCTACCAGGATAGGCATCCAGATAGGTAAGAGCCCCACAAGTCTCCACCTGGTTAAAATTGCTACCGAAAACCGAACTATCAAGCAGAACTCAACAATCTGAAAACAAGTAAACAAGCATGACATCACAACCGCCGCCATGCCGCTGTCTGCGCAGCTCCCCCTCCCTGGGAGGGGGGAGCCCCAGACCCCCTCACACCAGCTATTCAACCTCAGTTCTGAGGCTGACGTGTTGTGTGACGGTCGTTCGACTCTGGCTCCTGTCTTTGACCAGTGCTGTCCCTTTGCAGTCGTGTTCTGCTGTGTGGTGGTGTGTGAGCCAGGAGTAATTCACCGAGTACTGGGGCTGCATGCCTCTAAGGCCACCTTCTCTAGGTGTCCTGTAAGTACTGCCCATGTGGTTTGGTGTTGCCTTCCACAAGTCATTTGGGAACTACCTCCGTATGGATCTTTTGCTGCTTGGTGATTGCTCGCCCTTAAGGTCAGCTGAGGTTTTCATTTCCGCTGTTTGACCTTGGGTAGGAGGTAGTATTGTCGCTGGTAGGGGCGCAAGGTACTGTGTAGCTTGTCACCTATTACACAGCGGCCGGTTCTGTTCCTCCTGGAGACGTAGTACATTTGTGGGGCTTCTATTTTTGTTTGTTGCCTGGTGGGGGGGGGGGTCTGCCCCATGGTTATTGTCCACCCTCTGTTACTCTGGTGGTCCCCTGCTAGGTCCCCGTGATTGTAGACGTCACAGGGGTTCAGCTTTTAGTAGATCTCTTGGTAGTTGAGCCAACCAATTAGCAGTACCTTGCCTGGGCTTCCCTTAGCAGTCAGCCTAAGGACTTTGGAAAACCCCATTTGTGCTCATTGGTCCAATGGATGCATCCTCTGGGTCCCATCTCGCCTTGTGCGAGTTAGAAGGTTGCTCTGTCCCCTTGTCTCAGGGTGACATTCACCAGTTTTGCCTTCGTTATGCTGCCTGTTGAGTCGGTGACACCTTCGACCCAGAGTCCTGCGAGTGGTGTTCCTTGCTGGTTCTCCAATTCACCCAGTCCACTGATATTGATACTAGAGGCATGCACGGTTTCGGTTGCTGTCTTTTAGTTTGGCCACCTTTCTGGTTGCCCCGCAGCTGTCCTGCTTTGGTTATAGGGACCTGGACTTGTGGGTGTTAGTCGTTTCGACTTTGGTTTCGTCCCCCTTGTTCTTTCCCTGCTGTGGTTTGTCCTGCCCATCCTTTCCCCACTGCCGGCTCCTAAACGTCTGAAGGTTTCAGAGTTGTGCAGGGTATAGATGGCAGCGAGAGACTGATGGTCTTTCCGGTTCGGCAACGGAGGCATTTGAGCCTGCTCCTCCAGCCGGGGCTTTGGGGTCTGACCAGCGACCTTCTTCCCCCCCCCCCCCACCCACCCTTTCTCATCTTTTCCGGTTGACTTTGCCTTTTCTTTTGGGGCCTACTATTTGAAGGACGGCTCTGCCCCGGGTCCTGGTGTGGAGGATCCTGGTGCTGGGGAGGAGTTAACTTGGGGTGCTTGAGCCCTGTTTGACTCTGCTTGGGTGTTGGTACCCTTGGTGCAGGGCTTATTGCAGGGGAAGGGGTTTTCTTACCCGCCTTCCCTGTACGAATTTGATATGGGTTCAGCTACTCCCCGAGTTCGGTTCCGGGTTTCCTTGGGTTCTGCAGTCCCTTTCTTCCAGAGGTTTTCGGCTTCCCGTATCCTGCCTAAGGAGGTTTGGGAGACCATCGCGGCATACCTCCTGCGTGATCCGGATTTTGCCTCGATAATGGATCATTCCTCGTTCGAGCTCAGTTCTGCTTTTCCTTGTTAGGTGCGTTATGACGTCCCGGAGTCATCCTGGCTAGCAGACTGCCCTTTCTTTTCATTGGGGGGCTTGGGCATTCGTTCTGTCGGACCTCCATGCTTAAGTGGCGGGAAACTGTTGTTCAGGTTTACCTGAGGGGGGGGGGGGGCGAGTTGTATTTTGCTTTTTGTAGGTTTTGTAATGTTGTGTGCTGTGCATCCATCCACTGTATTACTGTATTTCATTGGCATATCAAAAGATTTGCTTACATTTTAATTTTGTAATAAAGGTTGTCTTATTAATAAGTACAGTACTGTATAACTTAATATACAAAGTTATAAATTACTCCATTTGTTTTCTTGTATGGAATACATCACATGTTTGATAACTTCTTGTTGGCTATTACCTTATGCCATTTGATTATTTTCTAGGCTGCAACGAACTAACAAAGAAGGGACAGTTAGTAGTGGGTTACGCTACAGTCCTGTACATGCTGATCACTCCGTCCTTGCACCAACTCCCGTTCACCCAAGACACCATGCCCTCCAACATGCAAATGGTGAGCAGCTTATTTTATCTATCATACATTTGGTATATGAAAATAGCAATGTTAATTTCTCATATACTGTACAGTACTAATAAAATTTTAGCCATCTTTTTGTACTTTTAATTAATTACAGTATGTTTAATGGTATGGCTCATGAATTTTTTGTTTGATGCCATAAATAATGTGAAGTACCACCCTTGCCTACTGGAAGCCAGGACAAGAATCTAACTTCCTTTACGAGGCAAGAGGAACTCATGAATCGGATCAGTTTAAAGTAGAAGCAAAAATTCACCAGAAATGCAGAAATGCAGGTGTCTTCTGGCAAGGTGCCCATTGTGAAGGAGCCTTCACAGTAATCAAGCAAAGCAATTTTCTGGTGGGGCCCTCGGTAGCTCAGTCCCTGCTTCCTATCCCTTCTTCCTCGTGGAGTACAAGGATTTAGTTTGGATGGCTTGTGAGAGGGAAGGCTGGCTAAGACCCCAGGGGACTTTGGGTGTTAGTCCCCTATAATGTTCCTGACTACCTGGTGGCAGTCGGGAACATTATAGTTAGGGTGTATACACTGCAATGACAATTGTTTGCCTCATTGCATATGAGTATCTAATTAGAGCAGTTATCTATTTTGTTGTGTCTATGCTTATTCTTGGATGACTCCTTGGTGTTTGCTACCTGGCAGTAAGCGCCTTTCAATTCAATCCACAACAGGACCTTGCAAGTCATTTTAAACCTACTGGGACCAAAGGCCAAAACCTGGACCTCCTCTAAAGAGGTGCAATGAGCAAGGAATTCTGGGTCACCCTAACCAAAAGGCCACCAGGAAGGTGGGCAATCTGAAACAAACAGCAAAGAAAATGGCGTATAGAAAATGAGACGGCAAAGCCCCCAAATAAATGAATCGCCCGACCATGAAACAGTTCTCATGTTAATTCCACCTGCACACCATCAGGGAAATGTGCAACTTCCTCCTCAAATCCCAAGTATGAACCTCAGTCATTATGCTCCTGTACCCACCCAACCACTCTTCGGGTCCTTTTTTTTTTTTTCTTCAGACGAGTGTTGGTCATCGTGGACACCTTGTCCTGTGGGGGCCATTTGCCTTTTTATTATTTCTATTTCTTAGTGTTTCTTCATGATGCATGTATATATATTTTTTTATGCCACTTCTTATTATGTGAAATAATTATATGTTCATTTATCTTGAGGTTATATCTTTATTTCGGGGCTTAGCGTCCCCGCGGCCCAGTCCTTGACCAGGCCTCCATTTTGTTACACACCCCGAGGAAGCAGCCCATAGCAGCTGTCTAACTCCCAGGTACCTATTTACTGGTAGGTAACAGGAGCATCAGGGTGAAACATTCTGCCCATTTTTCTCCTCCTCCACCGGGGATCGAACCCGAAACCTCGGGACTACGAATCCGAAGCGCTGTCCACCCAGCTGTCAGGCGCCCGCAGGCAGCGTAGGCTGTCCACCCGTCAGTCAGACCTAGGACTGTATTTGCCCAAAATTTCTAGGAGTTTTTGGACTTTTGCTTCATCCTGTCTGCAGTTGTTTGCAACATCAATAGGCAATAGCTAACAACTTCATGAATGTCAGTTCAGACTTAGCTAAATGAGAGCAATACATTCAGTATCAGGGTGCACATTATTGAGCAAAGGTCCTGTGGAGGGTGTTCCTTACCTACAGACTTACCCACTTCAGAATCACTGTGGTCATAGGAGTCACTTCAATGTTAGGCAGGCTCTCTAAAGGATCTCCAGTTGGATTCTCATCATCAGTAATTTATTCAAGTAGGGCAAAGTTACCACTATATTAATATAGTGGTAACTTTGAACTTTCTCTGTGCTGAGGGCACTTCATGAGTGGCAGTATTCAAGAAAGCTTTCTGTAAACAGTTTTAAAGTAAAGTTTATTGACAAAACTTGAGTGTAATACACAGGGAGCTTGTGTCACTATGATTAGTGTCATCAAAGCTAATATTGCATCACACACACACACTGTTATACCTCACTGACCAATCACATGGTTCTTCATGGACAGACCTAGACCTGTCTTAACACCACCTTCCACCTTTAGACAACCAATCAGAAATATCGCTTTCCTATCACTAGCTGGTTACAAGGAAAAAAGTTCCTTCCAGATACTCTGAAAACATCAAATGGCATGCACAATTTACAACAGTAATGATCTGTCAAGATAATCAACATAGCATGTAAATATACTAAATGTGTTGCATGTGTAACACACACATTCGCTCTGTTAGTGAAACAATCATGATACCACACAGATAATTACTTGTTCATCGTTAGTCTGTCTGTAAAACTCGGCCTTCACTTAACACTTCTCTAACCCTGTCCATGGAGGACAGAAGAAAATGTATATATGCTGGTTAGCATTGTAAATGTGTGGCCACGTCTGTGGTAGGAAGGGGGGAAAAAAAAAAAACTTGTTGTGTATGGTTAATGAGGTGAGTAAATCACAGGCTGATCAGTGAGAAGACACACTAAAACTGATTATTGGTTTAGTATCTTCAGTAATGCTAGCCTCACACAAACAAACACGCACACAACTTCTAAATTACGTGGAAAGGAATTAAAGTATGTACTCTAATAAAGAAAGACCTAGGAGTGGTTTTGGATAGTAAACTGTCGCTGGAGGAACATAAAGAACATTGTGTGAGGAACGTATGCGTTACTTTCCAACTCGAGACTTGCTTTTAATTACAGTACATGGATGGTGAAATGCTAAAGAAACATCTTTTGCGAGACCAAAATTGGAATATGCAACAGTTGTGCTTCTTGAGATATGGGCACAATACATCATTAAACTGGAAAAGGTGCAAAGACATGCTACAAAATGGCTTCCGGAACTGAAAACCAAAAAACAAAAAAACAAAAAAGCTAGAAGAAAGACGATGTGATCACTACTTACAAAATAATAACAGGAATTGACCAGATTAACAAAGGCATTCCAGAAACCAGCAACTTCAAGAGCACGAGAACACAGATTCAAGCTAAGGAAACAATGGTGCTAAAAAAATATTAGAAAGTTTTCTTTTACAATCTGCTATCTGCTGGCATAGCCAGACATTGTATATTACCTCACACACTATATCTGAACTGCAAATGCGACCCACAGCCGAGTGGGCAGTGCTCAGGATTTGTAGTCCTGAGGTTCCGGGTTCGATCCCCAGTTGAGGCGGAAACAAATGGACAATTTATTTCACCCTGATGCTCTGTTCACCCAGCAGTAAATAGGTACCTGGGTGTTAGACAGCTGCTACGGGCTATTCTGGGGGTGTGTAACTAAAAGGAGGCCTGGTCCTTGACCAGGCCTCCTGCCGTGCCTTAAAATCGCCTCACGATATGGGGCAACAGTATATGGCAGGAGATGCCAATCGAGAAGAAAAGCCAAAAAAGGAGAGCACCACATATTCAGAAACCTAAGAACAACTATGAAAAGAAAGGAGAAGTGAAAGGCGCATCATGAAATCCCAGTATGTCACTGAAAAGAGGAACACAGATAGGAAACCAAGAAGCCATCTGCTCACCATAGAGGTGGCAATAAGATGAGTCAAAACACCAGATGCGAAGAGTAGAGGAAAAGGTTGAATGAGTGTGGTTCAACTGACCCACTGGGCTGCCCTCTGAAGAGAGGTTGAGCCATGGAAAAAAAACTGGGTTCAGCACTCAGCAAGCAGTGCCTGAAACCAAGGCTGAGCTGGCCACCAAGGAGCCAGAAGGATCACCCTTCCCTAGGACGACTCCAACCTGACTTGGAAGCAGAGCAACAGCCAAACTGGGGGGAAGAGGTACCAGGATCCCCATTTCAACCATTCCAGCTGAAAGGCATCCACCTATGGTCTCACAATTGGGGAACAGAGCTGCATATAAGGGAAGGCTTCAAAACCATGCTGACATGAAGAGGTCCATGTCCAGGTTCCCAAACATCTCTCGGTCACAGAAATGAGGAAGCATTGAACGTCCACTTCGTGGTAGTGAAAATGAAATGGGACAGACCATCTGCGAGGTTGTCGGACACTACCTGGACATGAAACACACACAGCCAAATCCTGAGAACCCAGCAGAAGAGCTACAGGAGGCATTCAGCTCAAAGAGGCAGGGACCAAAGTGAACCTCCCCTCTTCCCTGGTTGACAATGAACCAGGGGGTACAGGCGGTTCCACCTACACCCAACTGCCTCCAGTAACAAGAATGAGGGCCTCAAGGACATAAGAAGTTCAAAAGAGGCCGACAGGCCACAGTCATTGTGACATGTTAATGCAATCTGTTGACTGCACCTGAGCTTATTTTCTGTTCCCTAGTGGAAGGCTGTGGTCTTACTGTAATAGATGTAGATTCCTTCGTACTAAATGATTTCCTTTCCTCAGAAGTGATGTGAAAGATACGTTACACGGTAGAAGGCAGTCCACCAGGAGAAGCCAGCAAGAGCAGTCCTAAACACAAGACTTGTGTTGGTTGAAACAAGAAGGGCCTGGCTGTTGAAGACAGTGAAATGTCTGTGGTAGCCAAGGAGCTATTTCTGTTGGAACAACATATCCTAGTGTGGCCTAGTTGTGTTCGTAGATGGAATGAACGTCCATCTGTCCTCTAGGTCAAGGCTAGTTTGCAGTTGAGCCTCGAGGGGGAAGCCAGCCAGCATGTTGCTGGTGTTAGTGTTTAGACACAGTGAGGATACTATGGAGGACTGGCCCGTGAATTATTGGAGAAGTGGACTCGCCGTAGTGAGTACCTCAGAAGTAGAGCACTTTGGGAAGGAGCCCCAAGTATTATGTTAGGACGACTCCGTGATAGAAGATCAGAGGTTTTTGTGGTGTGGAAGTGACACATTGGGTGTTATCAGTGGTGTGGTGTATATATCTTTGTGTGTGTGTCTTGTAAATAATTACCTATACATAATATTTAGGTACATGTGGTGATGGTTTTTGTCTAGTGTTGTTTAACCCCTTTCCCCCATTTGGGTGTCTATTACTGCTCAATTCTTGATAGTTTCACCCTGACTTGGGGTTGGATATGTGAAGATATAACAGCCATCAATGAGAGGAACCTGTGTCACCACAATCACAGGAAAGAGGTGTGGAGGAAACGGAAACACAGGAGAGCTAAGGCCCACGTCAAATCCTACGAACATGCTCCAAGATGGTATAGCTTGAGAAGCACAGCCGAACCCATCACAGCAGAGGTCAAGATCCCTGAACGGAAGAGAGATGACCCGGTATGCACTACATCAGCTTTTGAACTGGAGCCAAGATGCCAGATGGCAATGAGCTACTTAACCCCCAACTAGTTTCAAGTGACTATGATCATTTGTTTACATAGTTGCGGAAGTTCTTTTAGAGGTTCTTGAGGGTATGGTCACCATTGAAGCCAGCAGTTGTTTATTTTCATTCACTGACTTCCTGGTTGCCTTCCTCCCCTGGGCGCCTGACAGCTGGGTGGACAGCGCTTCGGATTCATAGTCCTGAGGTTCCGGGTTCGATCCCCGGTGGAGGCGGAGACAAATGGGCAAAATGTTTCTTTCACCTGATGCCCCTGTTACCTAGCAGTAAATAGGTACCTGGGAGTTAGACAGCTGCTACAGGCTGCTTCCTGGGGGTGTGTAACAAAAAGGAGGCCTGGTTGAGGACCGGGCCGTGGAGATGCTAAGCCCTGAAATCAAGATAACCTCAAGATTCCTCAGTGGTGGCATAAATAAATAAATATCCCTGCTCCTTTGGGAGGGGGCTAGGTTCTGATGTTGGTTATATAACTCCACAGCTGATGCTACCTAGTAGATGGTGTCCTATTACTGTCATAGCTTCTATGAACCACAAGGGGGCTCTCCTCAGAAAACCAGTAAAGAGACAAGTCAGTGACAATGAAATACAGTGAATCAGTGTAAATATATTATGGCAACTCCCACTGCCTACCTAGCCAAGATACCTCCACAGAATGTCTTCCATCTGCAACATGAATTAGTGAAGTCATTGTGATTTTCCTCTCTCTACTACAGACAAAATAAGTTTTTTTTCTTTTTTTATATATATATAGTTTTTCCATGATCAGAAAATTATTTTAACTAATTCCAAAAATTTATTTTTCTAAACTTTTTGGGCACACCATTGAGTTGTCACATGAAACATGTGTGCAGTGTCAAGGGTTAAATGTAAAGAACATAAGAACAAAGGTAACTGCAGAAGGCCTATTGGCCCATACGAGGCAGCTCCTATTCTATAACCACCCAATCCCACTCATATACTTGTCCAACCCGCGCTTGAAACAATCGAGGGACACCACCACCACCACGTTACGCGGCAATTGGTTCCACAAATCAACAACAACCAAATCAAATGGCTGATGGTGTCTTGTTTTTGCCCCATCCCAATGGAGTGGACCATCATCGACATAACCTTCCATCAGCTTTGCATAGCATTTAGTTACTGTTACCCTAAGGTTGACCTTTTGACTTCAGCACCGAACATGCGGCCTACACTTTATGTGGCCCTATTTTTCAATTGCGAGGCTCACATAGTAGATGCCTTTTGGCTGGACTGGAGTTGGTGGGAGTTTCTTTGTCTCGTTCCTCTGGTTCGGCTATTGCTCCAGGTTCTGTTCAAGATGGAATCGTTTGCTGATAAGGTTCTTCTGTTTGCTTCCTTTTGGATGATCCAGCCAAGGTTTCTAGTTCATTGGTCCCATTGCTGTGCACCATTGTCCATGGCTCCACTTCCTTCTCCTGATTGGCCCAGAGATGTTTGAGGTTCTCCAATGATCTACCCGTTTAGAGCTCTTGACACTTTCTGCTCTCTGTACAGTTTACAGATGGCCAATCTTTTGGTGTCTTGCAGATTTCATCACGGTGACAGTACAAGATATCTTTATGCTCTATGTTTTTCTCTCTCCGTTGTTTGTCCTCCATTTCTTTACCTATGGTCCTCTCATTTTTGTCTTCGTGTTTGTGGACAGGGTTCTCATATCAAATACTGTTGCCGTGTATAGATCGGCTTTGGTGAAGCAACTGCTGTTGGCATCTGCTGTCAACATATTGTCGGAACCGTTTCTTACAAGTTGTTTTTGACATTTTGCACCTCCAGCCTGCTCATACTACTCGTAGGCCATCATGATCTTTGTTCAGGGCTTTAGTTTCTCTTTCCACTCAGTTTTCTTTTGTCCCTTTGTTCCAGGATTGTTTCTTCAAGGCCATGTTTTTGTTAGCCCGTGTTTCCAGTATTCGAGCTGGGAAGCTTCACGCTTTCCTCCAGAAAATGGGGTTTTGCTATTTTGGTCCTAAAGGTTTTCTTCTTTGCTTACAGATCTCTTCCTTTGTGGCTTGGAATGAGATGGCTGGTTTCCAGAGGATTCCTTTGGCAATTGATGCTTGTCTGCTTAGCTAGGAGTGCATCATTTATGCCTGTTGGCAATCTATTGTCATTAGTGGTGCACAGGACACACTGTTTGGTCCAGGGTGGGCTTCTGTGGCTTTGGAGTGTTAACTCATTGCTAATGCCAACTTTCCTGGGGGTTACTTTCTGCAGCACTCCTCCACCCCTGGTGAATATTTCCTTTTATATTTGCCTTGGGACATAGCAAAGTCATCATAGAAGCCCTCTCAGAAAACAAGTATTGATAAATGAAATGCCTCTGATTTTGATGGCTTTTTGATGGCTTTTGATAAAAAAGGGAAGTTGGTAATCCTTTTGAAAGAAGAAAATCCTTGGGGTTCCAAGGATCGGTGGATCCTTGGAACCCTCCCTTGCCCATGCATGGGCTTTGGTTTTCCATTTTTCTGCCCATATGACTTAGGGTCCAAAGTTGATGGATTGAGGATTATTGTGCGCAGTCACCTGGTGGGAACCAAGTGGTTTGTGAATCTCGAGGCTTCTTTGTCCCATTTTGTATGTTTGATTTATCTTGCTGTTTGCTTTGGTTCACCCACCTTTCTCGTGGCCTTTTCTTGGCTAGGATAATATCTTTGTCTTTGTCCCATTTTGTATGTTTGATTTATCTTGCTGTTTGCTTTGGTTCACCCACCTTTCTCGTGGCCTTTTCTTGGCTAGGATAATATCTTCAATTCCCCTGCTCATTGCACTTCATTAGAGGAAGCAAGGTTTTGGTCTTAGGTCCTCAGTAGGCAAATACATGACTTATAAGGGCCTAGCATGGATTTAATTGGATGAAACTTGCCAGGTATCAAGTACCAAGGACCCACTGGAAAGAGGCATTTCATTACATTCAATGCTAATTTTGTTAATATATAAATTTATATAAATTATCTGATAGAAATTCTGAGTAAATGGTCCAGCACAGCTTCACTGAGTATTTAATTCATGTCATTCAATTTCTTTTTATTTCATGTTAACAGGTGGGTCCCGTTCCATCCCGATACCACAACTGCCAAAACCACTGCTTCCTCCTCGGTTGCGCAGCTCTGTGGAGGGTCTTAACCAGGAAATTGAACGCCTCGTCTTACGCCCGTCCCACATACCTGGGGATGACGTAGATGATGTGGTATGTCAATATTTCAAGCATAATTATGTTAAATGTTGTATAAAGATTAAATAATAAAACAATCTTTCTAGCTTATCTGAGTAATTTTAGTTTAGAATGCCATATGTATTTCAGGCAGGATTATTTTCGGCCAGAATTACCAAACTTAGAAAAGTACGTGAAATTAGCACATAATTAACACTGCCAGAATTGGACTGTGTCCATCTTTATCAGCTGCCATTATAAGTAAGCACTACACATCAATTAAGTTAGAAGTAAATTGCAGTGTCTAGACTTGTCTTGAGGTTATCTTGAGATGATTTCGGGGCTTTTTTAGTGTCCCCGCGATACATGGTTAATGCTGCAACAGCTTTGTGAAAAACACTACTGGAGAAGTATGTGGCAAGCAGAAGCTTTCTCTGTTGGTTACATGTACCGGTTGACAAGCCTCTAACTCTACATGCAATTAATCTACATGGTTAATGCTAGTAACTCTTTGCCACCACGACTACCTTTGTGACCTACCTTTCTAATCCATCAGGATCTTAGACTCCTAACAAACCCAGGAACAACTCCAGTTATCCTAAACATGCCCCCAGGGACTGAAGGTGTACACACACTTCTCTAAGATCTGGGGTACTTGCCTGAGAATCCAGAGCTCATACAAAGTAGCCAAGGCACTGATTTTATTTATATTTATTTATATATACAAGAGTTCTTACATTCTTGTAAAGCCACTTGCATGCATTGCATTTCGGGCAGGTCCTTAATCCTAATTTTCCCTGGAATACGACCTACCAAATCGTTCAACAATTTGGTACCCATTCATTGCTGGGTGAACAGAGGCCTACAGTTAAAGATTGGCACCCTGGCCAAGATACAAACCCAGGCTAAAGAGCTTGCGAAGCGCTGAGCGAGCGTATTACCAATGCAGGCGATGAGTCACAATAACGTGGCTAAATTATGTTGACCAGACTACACACTAGAAGGTGAAGGGACGACGATGTTTCGGTCCGTCCTGGACCTGGATCAATCCACTTCAGAATGGTCCAGGACAGACCGAAACGTCATTGTCCCTTCACCTTCTAGTGTGTGGTCTTACCACTGCGCCTCCAAGACTAATGAAATATTAAAAGACGAGGGAGGGATTGCAACTTAACCACCAGAGGCAGGGTGGGGGAGTAAACAACCCTTTGATGTACAAGCTAAAACTTCATGCTGACATGCACTTGATGGGAAACCCACAAACACAAGAAACATTGCAAAAGTTGAATCCCCTGCATTGGTCAACATCTTGTTAATGATAATCGGCCAATTCTTCAGCCACAGGCCTTGTTAGGTAACCATGTACCGAGATATTATCCGGTACATTAAACAAAGTGCCGCTTCCAAGGGTATTCCTAAGATAATGCTAGTGGAGAACCTTTGTCAACAGTGCCATGAAAGGCCTCACTGAAACTAAAGCTGACAAAGCGAGATAGTGTTTAAGGCCACGCACATGAAAGTAAAAAGCATATACTGTAATCAATGTGCAAGCCATGAGTTCTAAGCCAAAAAATTTTGCATTGTGGTGAAATTTTATGGAATTAAATATTCATGTGGTATTTAAAGACCAATACCCAGCCAAGAGTTATGAGTGGGGACTTTATGGGTCTGGTTTTGGGTAGGAGGAGGTAGCATGATCACTTGCTCGGGAGTTGTCAAAACTATACTGTGTTAGTTCAGCACTTATTACAAAACATTTCCTGAAAGAAGTTTGAGTATTTTGTAACTTTCATTGAGTTCGACTTCCTCTACTAGGTTGATCTAATTCCAATGAGGTTCCTTGCAAAGGGCAAGGTAAGTTTAGTGCCCTTGTCTCTGGTTGGCAGTGAATCCATGGATACATGTGTACATTTTTTTTTTAATTTTGCCCCGATGGGATAGTTTATAGGGCAGTGTCAGTCATCCTGTGAGTAAACATACTGCCATAGCAGCATGTATAATAACCCCCCAATAGGAAGAAACCCACTGGGTTGTTCATCTTGTCACTTGTACCCAACACAGCAGGAACTTGCTTAACTGTCAGGTGACCAGTTTATCAAACAAGAAGGTCCATTAACATTTACCAACCCTAAACTTGCAGTATCTTGCTGGTGCAAAGTGGGGAAATCTTTTTGAGAACAGTATCTATAAATGACAATTAGTGTTTTCCTAACTCAGTGTGATTTATTATTATTCTACACACACTAATAATGTTTCTTAGATTGGTATAATCTCTCAGTGGTTAAGGTGGTGTCTGTCGCTTTCACCAGATTCTGCAGCTCTGGTGCTTTTTCCATTCCAAATCTCTATGGGTATTTGTATCCAAGACCAATTCTCTTCCCTGGCCACCTCCTTTTTGTCCATAATGATTAGGATTTTATTTATTTCAGCCATTATTTAAAAAATCCAATATCATATTTATGTTTTTTGGTGGTGGAATGGATTATTTTTATTTCCAATGTTAAATGGGGAAATTCGTTTTGAAAGACTAACATTTTAGTCTTTCAAAATGAACGAAAGAAAGAACGGATTAAATTCATTATTCGAGGTACCACTGTATTCATTTTCCCCTTTTCTGACTAGCTGGTCTGTACACTGGGAGATAATGTGTAATCAAATGGCTCCTTATCCCCTAGTGTTTTTTTTTTTTTTTGTGAAGTACAGTTGTCTCTACCTGTATTCCTCCTAGTAGGTTTAATTTAAATAAAATTTGAACTGTTGATTCTTAATCTGTAATTTTGGTGAGGGCAGTCTCAGAGGGAATGCAGAGCAGGGAGGGAACCCTCTACTCTTCTATATAACCAGAAGAAATTTGTATGGCTTTTTAACCCTTTGTTACAGCAATTACTACTGCTGAAGATTGTTACCAAAGTATTTTCTAATCTGTATATTCCATGTGCACACTACTTCCTTCCCTCCCTCCCTCCCTCCCGCCTGCCTGCCTAAGTCAACAACTGAAGATGGAAGATATTAAATTAATTTAGGGGCTTCTTTACTATAAATTAGCTTCTCACTAAAAATATTAAGAGGGAAAATATTTACAAGAAAACAAGGCAAATATTTGGTCTAGTTGATGGACAAGACAATAATTTCAGGTTAGCGCTGGTAATGAAATTGGTTGTGTAAATTTGCGTATATCATAGAATAATTTGGCAGACTGACTTGCAGCATCACAAAATAACTTCAGGATATGCAAAAATACTGCTTATGTTTATCGTTTTGCAATCAAGTCAAGCCAAGGCTGGCCTCGGGCCAGGCTTGGGGAGTAGAAGAACTCCCAGAACCCCATCAAGTAGGTATCAAGCAGGTATTAAGTCTATCTAAATTATATGCTAACAAAAATAAATGAAGTGGGATTACCAAATTAAAAAAATGCAAGTATTCAGATAGCAGATGGTACAATATTTGTGTCGTATTGTGTTTCCATGGCTGCTGAGGACAGAATATTTAATACATCATAACTAACATATTATATTTTCAGTGGGGTGAAATTGCACGTGATGGCCGGAGAGCACCTATTGCCGATTACCTGCGGTTCACAAGAAGTATCGATACTCAGACACCCGCCCGAGGGTCAACAATATCTGCAACCAGTTCTAACCACACGTCACCATCCCTCTCCCCGCCAACTTCTCCGCCACCTTGCCAGGATGCTTCCATGCCAACTTCAACTCCAAGCCCAACTAGTGCTCCAACACTGGCCACTTCCCCACACATAAACAAGTTTTTAGCTCGGGAGCCACCTGATGGCTGTGAGAGAGTGGCTCTCAAGCAGCATGAAGACAGGTAATTGAGTAAACATTATAGTGTAAATTCACTTGAACGAACTGTATGGGATGAGCCCGATTCATTTCAAAAGGGATTTCATTTGTCCTAGCAAACCTTAGGAAAAATCTTCCCCTACCCTCCAAGGAAAAAAAAAATGTTTTGAGAGGACCTACATCCACTATAATTCATTTATAAGTATGTGACTTACCTTTCCAAGAGTAGTGTAGTCAGATCTCTTGTCTAAATGTGCTTTAGGGTTAATAAGTGCAAATTTATCATAATACATCTTTCACCAACACTATCATACAAAACTGATTATGTATTCATTTTAACCATGACACATAATAAAGCAATTATTGGCAAACAATTCCATATCAAAATTGCAACTACCAGTACATGACAATTACTTGTGGCTGCACACAGTACGTAACAATCAGGGATTTATACGCAAACTTGGCCAGTGTCGATATAAAAATGCACAAAAAATTCCTTTATTCCTTCATTTTGACCACGGCGTTTAATAAACAATTAGGTGTCAAAATTAAATATACTATATATGAAAATTATTTAAACCAAAAATGCAAAAATGATTAAGAGCTTTCTCACTGTGGTGAGGAAGGGGATCGACTTCATCCTCCCCTCATGGAGGAGGCGAGAGCCATACCCTCCACGTTCACCAATCAGCCAATGCACTCTTGGCTTCATCACACTGCCAGCTTATACACATTTGTGTTAAACTTTTGTCCAATGGAAATGGATTTCCAATTTAAATTTTTTCTTTCCTCAACAATATGATTGCTGCAATAAAGCATTTTGTTAAAAAAAATAAAAAAAAATCATTGTGCAGATAATTATTGAATTAAAGAAATCTTTTCATTAAGCCAACCCAAAAGCACTGGTATTCCAAACACATGTAGTGACCCTTGGCTTAAACATTTTATGTATATTTTTTTATACAAAGTCATTTATGTTGGTTATTTTTTGTATATTTTTGAATTGTTGTATGGCAATTTGTATAATTTTTGTATTTAATGTTAAATTTTTTTAGGCATTTTATTAATATTTGAACTTTGCACCAAAATTCCTTTGGGCAAGGATGAATCATAACATATGGTGAATAGATTAACTTCTGGTGTTCTGTGTATATTTGTTTAAATATTAGTACAGCAATGATACAAAGCCACTTATTCAGAAATGATGAATACGTCCCTTTGGTAGGCTGCCTGATCTTGGGCCGGGTGGACTCTTTAGGCCAGTAGTTGCTGGGTTGGCTGCCTAGAGGTGCACACAAGATGGTATTATTACACTGGCTGGGTCATTAGTAGTAGGCATCCATCAGTCTCGGGATACTATGGTGCTGCGCTCTGGTTGTCTAGTTGGAGTTAGGGGCCTCGTAGCCTGGTGGATAGCGCGCAGGACTCTTAATTCTGTGGTGCGGGTTCGATTCCCGCACGAGGCAGAAACAAATGGGCAAAGTTTCTTTCACCCTGAATGCCGCTGTTACCTAGCAGTAAATAGGTACCTGGGAGTTAGTCTGCTGTCACGGGCTGCTTCCTGGGGGTGGAGGCCTGGTCGAGGACCGGACCGCGGGGACACTAAAAGCCCCGAAATCATCTCAAGATAACCTCAAGATAAGAGTAGCCTCTCCAGGATGCAAAGCTAGGGTAGGGAGAAGCTGGGTCACAGCTTGTCTATGTCTCAAGCATATCATACAGTCTTGTCAACATCATTCTGCAATGTTCTTTCAAAACACCAGGAATATCTCAGGAAAACCTTCAACTAGCAGAATAAAGAGGAAACCATGTGGTACCAATTGTTTAAAAATAGGAGTTAATTAGAAAGTTTTGAAAGTGGTGTCCCTAAGGCAAAAATCTGTGCTGAACACACATCAACTACGATAGTGATTTTATGAAGAAAATAGGGGGGAGAGAAATATTATAATCAACACGAAAATCACAAGGAGCCAGTGACTTTTCTTTTTACGAGTATGACAAGGTTCTCTTGAGATGATTTCGGGGCTTTAGTGTCCCCGTGGCCCGGTCCTCGACCAGCCCTCCACCCCCAGGAAGCAGCCTGTGACAGCTGACTAACACCCAGGTACCTATTTTACTGCTAGGTAACAGGGGAATAGGGTGAAAGAAACTCTGCCCATTGTTTCTCGCCGGCGCCCGGGATCGAACCTGGGACCACAAGTCCAGTGTGCTGTCCACTTGGCCGACCGGCTCCCCAAGGTAGGTAGGCAAGCCCCAAGGGGTAGGCAAACCTGTTTAATAATTCAAAAAAGCAAACCAACAAAATCACTAGAGAAAAGGGGAGTAAAGAACAAGGAGAGGGATCACGTTTCTGAAAAATTGTATATACTACCATGGATGGAGATAAAAAATACTGGAGCTAAACGATATAACACCGCTGAAGATGCCACATTGTTGCACTATCAAAGACAAAACTAGAAGATATTTTAAATTAGGTCATATTCCTGAGGGGTACTCAATTTGGAGATGGGACAGAAAAATTAGGAAAGGTAGAGGTACAGTATTGCTGTGCTGGTGAATGATTATCTAAATGTAAACATATTACTGATTGCCAACCCACAAGAAGTTTACATAATGGCACTGGAGATTTGTATCTCCAATGCCATTATGTATTTATCATACAGGTTATACGTGCCTCCTATATTTCACATCTGCAAGAAAAATGACAGGTTGAACAACATGAACCTTTCACACTAAAGATGCTATACTGATGATGATACTTTTCAAGATGCTAGTGCTCTCTTGTGTGGAATACTGTTGCACAATGACAGCCCCTTTCAAAGTTGAAGAAATTACCGATCTGGAGAGTGCAGAGATTCTTTACTGCTAGAATCCACTCGGTAAAATATCTAAACTATTGGGACAGACTAAAATGCTTAAATCTGTATTCTCTTGAGTGCTACATAATAACTTAAATGTGGAAAATAGTAGAGGGGCTGGTCCCAAACCGGCACGCAGAAATAACACCACATGAGACCAGAAGGCATGGCAGGATATGCAAAAATAGCTCCACTGAAAAGCAGAGGGTCAATAGGCACAGAGAGAGAACTATCAACATTAACGCCCAAGCCTTTTCAACACTTTCCATACACATTCAGGGCATAATTGGTCAACCTCTCGCAGAGTTCAAAATAGAACTTGACAAGGATAAGATCAACCAGGTATCCTTCAAAGGATACCCGATCAACCAGGCTGTGAGCAACTGCATCAAATAGCCTGGATGATCAAACCAGCAACCAGGAGACCTTATCATAAAACAGACCACAGGAACACTGGTCCCCCAAAATTATCAACAGGTAGACATTCAGTTCCTTTCCCTCTTGGGTAAAAGTGACCATGTCCTTTTGGAAATAAAATATGCGATGCATTATAATATAGAAGAGAATTCTTTATTATAATGCATCTTTTCTTATTTTGGCATCTTCAGTCAAAAGCAAGATTATCTGAAGTGATTCAGCATATTGCTTATCCTCCATGTTTACCGTCTAACACAATTTATGTAAATATGTTGCTCTTGCAGCTTGCCTTGCAAATGTGCCTACAGCCAGTATTTGGACCCCTGGGAAGGGTTAGCGATCCAACCGAGTCTTAGCCACTCATTATTTCCCATCCATACTTCGTTTCCTGATAAAATGTGTTTCCTTAGGTTGGGTGACACATCCTTGACTTTTTTCTTCTTTCTTCCCAGTGTCATTTTAGCTTCCATTTAGATTAGATAGTAACAGGGTTACCACATAATAATGATATACAAGTTGTGGAAATATGCTGAGCACCCACTTTACAGTTTTGTTAGGTAATTTGGCGATTGCCAAGCATTTCTTGAGGGAAGGTTCAATGTTGCCTTTTTGTTTCAAGATGGATTTTCTTCAATGTTGGCTTATCATTGATCACTTCCACCCCCTATCAATAGTGATATTAGCACCATTGTTTGTTCCAAAGCTTTCATTCATATTTCAGTATATTTAATAATTTGCTATCCCACTTCATTAACCCTTAAACTGCGCAATACATATATAGACGATGGGAGTAACTTTTCCGAAACCGCACAATACAAATATATACACGATTGAGGGTCTAGCTCACAATTTTAAATGCCCTGCGAGGAATAGGGGCAGCTATAGTCAAGCCGACCTCGTATGTAAATGGATGCCACCTAGAAAAAAAATCATGGGTAACATATCCGGGTGCGAGAGCCTCAGTTCTGAGTGAGTCACCAAGGCTGGCACACACAGCATGATCTCTCAGCACTGCTGTTCAGCTTGTGACCATAGCATCACCTACAAATGTCAATATATATATATGTACATGCTATTATTTAGCAATAATAGTATTACAGAAGACCCCTGACTGTGATAAAACTGACTGGAATTCTGGTAATAGCAGGATTGTGGTGATATTTAGCGCTGTGTTCTATGATGAGAGGAGTAATGCTGAGGGAGGGAGGGGTCATCATCTTCTGACTGTGTGGCCACCTTTTATTGACTGTACTTACCATACCAGCTTAGTGGTTCGCTATGGTCAACACAGATGTAGACACATACATATAACGTATGTGCTCATACGTTATATGTATATTATAATATGTACTCACAACTAGGTGAGTACATATAATGTGTGTATATAGAGTGTAATAACAGCAATACGAGTATGTTGGGAGCCACCATTTTGGCAAGGGAGGTGCGTAGTCTGCATGACATGTCATTTTGTGTACTGGTGGCTACTATAGTCTTTGGGCACCATACCAGGTTATTTGTATAGGTATGGTGAATAAAATATGTAGATACAGTACTTATATATAATGTGTTTATATAGTGTAATAACACCACAAACAGTATTGTTGGAGGAGAAATATTAGTTTATCTGGCATTGAACAGTGAGGGAGGCAGCCACCAGCTGACTGTGTGTAGCTACGTTTCTTATTGCCTGAACTTGCCATACAAGCTTAGCTGTTATGATGAACAAAACATGTAGATACTTATATATGTCTGTATATAGTGAATAAAAGCAAAAACAGTATGGTAGGAGGAGGATGTCGGCGAGTGAGGAGGTGAGGAAGGGAGAGGCAGCGAGTGGCTGGCTGGCTGGTGTGTGGCAGCCACTCTTCATTGCTTTTTGACTATACCAACTTAGTGGTTCGTTATGGTGACCAAAACACGTAGATACTTATATATAACCTGTGTATATAGTGTAATAACAGCAAAACTCTTTGTTTCTTGGTTTATGAACATAATTGAATCACTAATATGCATACCCTAATTTTGAGTATAGCGATAGCTCTCACATTTTATTATATAAATACATCACACTACACACTATTGAATAATATTACTGAAAAAAAAAATAATAATTAGAAATCAGAGACATTGAAATAATTAGGTAATATCTTTGTGGCAACTCCCGCCTGACAGCTGGGGCGGAGCAGACCTCGTCTGGTGGCTGCTCTGTAAACGCCTCTTTTTTGCCAGACTTCCCCGCCCTATTGTGGCCAAAATATGCCACATACGATTTTTGTTTTATTTTTCCCGTGATCAGGGAACAAATGAACACTTAAAACTAAAGATTTTTTTTTTTTTTGCGCCTGGCAGTGTTGTAGGCCAAAAAGCCCTTAGCGGTTTGAGGGTTAACTATACTTTTCAGCCTATCTTATGCAAAGCTTTCTTTGTATTTCTCGTGATAATTCTTGGATTCATAGCATACTTTTTCCAAATGTAATGCTTTTATCTCATCTTAATCCATCAGTTCAGGATTGTGCTTCTTATTTTGTCTTTCATATATTGGATTGCTAGAAAAGCAGTTTTCATACACTTAAACTACATTATATAATATCTGTTTTCAGGTCAGGAGCAACTCCAAGAGGTGTATGGTCTGCTGTTAGACCTCCTGGTGCTTTCACCCTGCGGCCCAGTCAAGGATCAGCTTTCTGTCCACCTGATAGGATAGGAACCGAAGATATGTGTGGAGCCACATCCCTCCATGTATGTCGGCATCACACTGATGACGAGAGCGAATTGTGTCCTGTGTGCGGCAGTAGTAGTATTAGCGGTCCTAGCGGATGTCCTGAAGCTGGTAGTCCAGACCAGCAACATGAACCACAGGCCTGCCAATCATTATCAAGTCAATCAGAAACCTGTGAAGCTGGTGTGTGTACTACAGTCCTTGGTCCTGCCAGCACAAGTATAGGGGCATCTCCTGAAGTCACTGCTGATCAATAGCGAAGGCCATGTTTTAGCACATTTTACAATTATTTTTGTCATCCTGCAGTTTAACAGTTATCTTAAAAAAAGTGGTTCAGACATTGTGGTTCTTAATAGACATTATAGTGATTCGTGAATATGCTTACTGAGTATTATTTGGTATGTATTAATGTACACAGTGTATTAACTTTCAACGTGATTCAGCATTTCCAAGGCAATTTTGTACGTATATCCCAATGTTGCATACTGTTCACCTAGAAGTGAATAAGCTCCCTTACATCTCAGGATTTAATGGATAAGTAGCCACTATAATGTAGACCTAATTGACACATTGTAGGGAACTGCTCATGTACTTACTCTTCGTCCTCCTGGTGGGGGACCAGTTGACTACCCTCCTGCAAGGGAAACATTGACTCTCCTGTTGAATGAAACTGGTGTAATCACTCCCAATGCAGGAACTAGTGTAATCTTTTCTTGTCATGGGAACTAGCATTATCATCTACAAAAACCTGGGAGAATCTTTCTAATAAAGGAAGTAACTCTTGCCCGTGCTTAGAAAGTGTAAAACGAATTCTTTATTCTGGTGAATTAGATAAGTTTTCTATGTTGAGTGTAACACATGTTCACCATTCTGCCAAACAATCAATACAACTATTCTCTTCATGGACTATAACTGCCTGCCTGCATACACACTCTGGACCTTAATAAAAACTATGTGATAAACCTAATTATTTACAACTTGTCTGAATACTCTTGAAGAAAATCCTTTAATCACCAGCATATTGGAAGACTGGCATCACATCTGGCCGAGGATAATAATCTGTGATATCTGTTACGAGACTGGTTTAAAAATTATGGTTCCCGAAGCAATTTTTATTAATCTGGCTAAATGATGTTTGTATGTTGTGCATGTTTCCCTGCCAGCCTGTGTGTTTACTCACCTGATTGTGCCTGCAGGACCGAGTGTCGGCTCTTAGACCCTGCCTTTTCAGCTGTTGGTCATCTAATGCAATGGCTTTTAGCCCACCAGATTTGTCATACTGTATTTACTTTTAAAGCTCTAGCAAATTACGATTTCTTACTACTTTTAAAAACAAAAATGTTTCCCTAATGTTCTTTTGGCACACCTGTGCCTAGTTTCCATTCATGATCTCTTGTTATGACTTATTAAATGTTTAATTTTATCTACTTTTGTCAATGGTCCTAAGGATTGTGCATCATGATCATGTCTTCTTACCCACATCTTTCTAATGTAGAAATCTCTCCTTGCATTCCAGTCTGCACAGTTCTGGTACCAGTCTTCTGGCATATCTCTGAACACTCAAACTTCATCTTGTACTTTTTTTATGTGGGGGTTCCATGCTGGGGCCACATACTTCTTACTGACCTCACATAGGTAGTGTACCATATACTAATTGCCTCTGTCCAAAATCCTGAAATCTACTGTAAGGTTTGCCAGCTTTGCATATGCTGTTGATGAGATTCTGTTGACAGTTGCCTCTGGATACAGGCTTCCTGTTATGTTTGTTCTCAAATCCTTTTTCTTTTTTAATTCGGGGAACTTCCTCCCCAATATTGTGTTTTGCAATGTGGTCTTGTTGCTCGTTTCTCTACTCTCATTACCTTACATTTCTTTAGATTGAATAAAGTTGAGTATCTTTCAAATTATCCTGCAGTTTGTCTTGGTACCTTTGAAGCATTCTGTAATCCCCCATTTATCCTAATTCTTTTCAACAACTTTGCATCATCTACAAACATTACTGCTTTTGGATACTCTTTCCTCACTCAAGCAAGACATTATTAAAATCAGTTTTTTCTGAACATCTTGGCTCTTTGGTACACATCGTCACTATTTCCATCATGATTTATTTCCGTCTCATTAACTCTCTGCATCCATTTGGCAGGAATTCTCTCACCCATAACTCTGCTCATTACTCTCCTATTACAGTGGAACCTCGGTCTATGAATGCCCCAAAGTACCTATTTTTCGGTGTATAAATTCAATTTCATCGTAAAATTGAACTCTGGGTACGAGTTTACCTCTTGAGTACGAGTCGTTTATTGATACAGTACTTGTATGGGTCAGGCGCATTTGTTATGGTGGGCACGCAACAAGACATGCTCAGTTTAACAGTGTATCCCGCCTATTGATGACTGTGTTTAATTCTTTAAGATTTTTTTTTTTTAACATAAAAGTTATAATATATCATGTCATGGGTCCCAAGAAAGTCAGTGGTAAAGTTCAACCTAAGAAAATAGTTGAGGATGACAATAGAGGAAAAAAAAAGAGATCATTCGTAAACCATGAAGATGGTATGCAGACTGTTGATCTTGCTAGGCAGTACTACAAATCCATGTCAACGATATGCACCTTGACACTTTCGCCCGGGCATGATGCAATGCTGCGTCATCCGTTTACTGTCGGTAATCACGGGCATAACGCAATGCTGCGTCGTCCACTAAAATAATCGCCAAAAATCAGGTTTTTATCCTGTTTTTTTGGGGACTGTTTGGTAACTGTCAACAAGCCGAATGCAATCTGTGACTACAATACAAACATGAACGGTGTTGATCACTTTGACCAAATGATCAAATATTATCACTTCATAAGGAAAACTCACAAATGGACGAAGAAAATGACTTATTTTGTGCAAATGGCTATCTATAATGCTTGTGATGTACAGCTACTACACAAAAAATACTAAACTATAATACTAAATATACTAAAATACTAAACATTTGTGGACAGGAATTGGGATTGTAGCTGGAAGGCGTCTGGGCGCTCGCTCGCGGTTAACGCGTGGCCCGTTTTCAACTCGTCGGCGGGTGGAGCATGACCAGGTTTTTTATTTTATATGCTAATATTCCTCTAGAGAATTCTATTGCGAACCCATTGATACCAAAATGAAAGACCTAGGACGAAAATTGAGGTGACCAGAGTCAAAAGAGTGAACACATTTTATCGCTTTTGCTCGCACCTGGGTAACTCGTTCGCACTTTCTCTGTTTGCTGCGGGTAATTAGCTGGGCTTTTGGAGTTTATATGCATTTAGTACTGTAGAGAATTCTATTGCGAACACAATGATACCAAATTTAATCTCGTAGGACGAGAATTGAGGTGACAAAGTTGGAGAGTATACACTTTTCAGAATTAACGCGCGCTCCCGTGAAACGCTGGGACCCAAATCGCACAGTTAAGGGGTGGCGCGCTGGGTACGCCAAAGTGTTGATTGCTAAGAAAAAGTAAATTACAAGTGCTCAAGTGGCAAAAGTTGTAACAACAATCACAAAACAAAGAACACAAATACTTGATGTTGATATGATGGGATGTGATGCCTCACTACAGACAAGTGTTAAAATGTAGGGAAAATAAGTATCTATAGACATATTTTTATTAAGACAAGCAAGCAGTGAGCCATAACCAGGTTCTATAGGTATGCCTGCAAAATGGAGGGAGTGTACCCCAGAAATGGCATCACTGCCTGATGTTATAATGGAAGGGACTCATCTTCCAAACACTAACACCTCTCTTCCTCTCTTCCTCTCTCCCTCCTCACCATTTTCCATATCCCAACAAGAGTCCTCAATAAGGGAAGGTATAGTAAAAATTATTAGTAGTACTGTCTTGTGTAAAATGTATTTTTCAGTTAATATTTTTGGGTGTGGAACAGATTAATTGAACTTCCAATATTTCATATGGGAAAATTCGTTTCGGTGTACAAACTGTCTGTCGGAATGGATTAAATTTGTAGACTGAGGTTCCACTATACAGTGGTACCTCAGTTTTCTTATTTAATTCGTTCCCAGAGACAGTACGAAAACTGAAAAATACAAAAACCTTAACAAAGTTTCCCATAAGAAATAATGTAAAATGAATTAATCTGTTCCACACCCCCCAAATATATTAACTAAAATATATATTTTATACAGAATAATACTCTTAGGTACCCAACCTTTATTGAGGACTCTTGTTGGCGTATGAATGACAGTGAGGAAGGAGGAGAGGTGTTAGTGTTTGGAAGGGGAGTCCCCCTTTAATTATAACAGCAGTGATGACGTTTCTGGGGTACTCTGTTTTGCAGGCATATCACTAGGACCTGGTTGTGGGCTCACTGCTTACTTGTCTTACTAAGAATCTGTCTATAGACACTTGTTTTCCCCTACGTTTTAACACTTGTCTGTAGTGAGACATCACTGTCTCACTAAGAATGATTTCTTGTTTTTTTCTCTATCGTCATCCTCACAACTATTTTCTTAAGTTGAATATTACCACTGACTTTCTTGGAACCCATGGTGCGATATATAATAAGAACTTAGGTTTGGAAACCAAAAAAGCACACAATGAAATTCTTCACTAAGAATTCAAACTCGATCATCACTAGGAAGGAGAGACCGGTAAACTGAAGCACCACATGCTCGGTGGATCCGTACGTGTATAAACAAACTCCGGTAACTGAGGCAAACAACGAGAACCGAATCAAATTTTTTTTAAGGAATAGAGTATGAGAACTGAAAAATACAAAAATGGGGGCATATGAAAACTGAGGTTCCACTGTATTTATATAATTTCTTTAATCCACCATGTTCTTCATATTTGTGTAAAAGCCTCATATGAATTTGCCAGACTTTCTAACAGTCTAAAAAAGATGGAGTCATCCCATCTTTCTCTAAAAGGCTTGTCAGGTAGGACTTCTATTTGCTGGACACTTTTATAGCTGAATTTTGTTTTTGTTCGTATTCCAATAGTTTCCTTATTAGTCACTTTCGAAGATCTAAGTCAAATTCATTTACCTTAGTAGTACAGTAAACAGTTAAATACTTTCAGGGACATCACGCACATCAGTGATACTGGCCTTGCAGTTGTGCGCTTCCTGCTTTTTTTCCCCTTTCATAGAAAATAGCAAATGTGGACCCTATATTTGACTAGCAGCTCTCCTCTGTGTTAAAAAAAAAAAGCCACAGTGCTTTTGCAATTTCTTTGTAGTACACCAAGAGTAATCACACTAATGTGACCATCAACGAGAAAATCTATAGGAGCTGTAATGAGGGGTTCGAACCTATGCGCTGGGTGTTTCTCCCCCCCCCCCCCCCTCCCTCATGTGCGCGCGCGCACACACACGCTCTAGTGACTGGACTACGACATGGTATAAGATGACTAGATGACAGACCCAGAGTGTGCGGGGGGAGGGGATTGTGTGATAATCCTGGTTCAGCTTCAGTAGAAACCTCGGGAAACCCTCATGTATTCAGTAGAACTTGTGTGAGGTACAGGTTTGAAAGCCATACCCCTAGAGTATAGCTAACACCCGCTCTTACTCTCATAAATAATGGGAGGGATATATACGTACTCAGCAAAAGTGCTGAAGCTGAAACCATCAACTATTCTACATGGGATAAGAAATATACCTTGGAGTACAATTTCACACATGGTTTTATTTAACAACACATACTGAATAGATGGGGGGAAGGAGGGTGTTACTTTGATAATTCCAAGAATTCTTGAGATCAAGGGTGATATCTTAGAGCAAACACAAACCTTAGGAGTTAATTGATAATTGCTGACTTTCTATTTAATTATTGATATTATATCCACACAAACTGGGACTTAAGGTTGCTACTCTACCACACTTCCTTGATAACTACAAAGTGTAGCATGGGCTTTTAACAGTACCGTGTTCTGACACTTAAACACTTTATAAATGGGGATCACAGTTGATGGGAAATAGACCATATGTTACAGACATCTGGACAAAGGAATCAAGATAACAAACCACCACCATCTACCCAGGGCACCAGTTACCCAGGGTTCTATAAATAAACAGTTTTAAACTGCCTATCACTGTTACAGAGAAGAAGCACTGCTATAGTATAAATGGAATATAATGCACTTATTGTTATTGTAAAAGGTCATCACAAGTCACACAAGAGACGACTGGCCTCTCCTCCAACCCTGCTCAGGACCAAGTGACCGGGACAGCTCACACATCTGTGTCCAACTGCCCAGTTCCAATAATGTTTCATACACATCTCCCAACAGTTCATTTATATGTCTTATAAAAATTTCAGGCTGTTTTTTGTAACATTTAACACTATTGTTTCTATTTTTTCCAGCACTGAATGCACTTTTTAACATGTATATAGTTTGCTGTTTACACTGTCATGTGGACGACGCTTTCCTGCTATGA